GGCACCATCTAGTTCTTCTGGTCTCAGGCTGATGAAGTCTCTGGTTTATGTGGCCCTTTCTGTCTCTTGGGCTAATACTTTCCTTGTGTCTTTGGCGTTCTTCACTCTCCTTTACTCCAGGTGATTGCGACCAACTGATGTATCTTAGATGGCCGCTAGCAAGCTTTTAAGACCCCAGACACCACTCACCAAAGTAGGATGCAGAACATTTTCTTAATAAGCTTTGTTATGCCGATTGACCTAGATGTCCCTTGAAAGCATGGTCCCCAGACCCTTACCCCTGCTACTACGTCCCTCAAAGTGTTTGACTGTATTCAGGAAACTTCTTAGCTTTGGTTTAGTCTAGTTGTGCTGACGTCCCCTGTAGTCTGTACTGTCCTTCCCTTCACCTAAGATAATTCTTATCTACTATCTAGTTAGTAAATAACCCTCACCTTCCCTCCCCACCCTCATAACCATCAAAGAATGTTTTATTCTGTGTTTAAACCGTTTCTTTAGTTCTCATAGTAGTGGTCTTATACGATATTTGTTCTTCTGTGACTGACTAAATTCACTCAGTATAATGACCTCCAGATTCCTCTGTGTTATAAGATGTTCCACGTCTTCATCGTTGTTCTTTATCAATACATAGTATTCCATTGTGTGGATATACCATAATTTGTTTATCCATTCGTCCATTGATGGGCACCTACGTTGTTTCCATCTTTGGCTATTGTGAACAGTGCTGCAATAAATACGGGTGTGCATATATCTATTCGTGTGACGGCTCTTATTTCTGTAGGATATATTCCAAGGAGTGGGACAGCTGGATCGTAAGGTACTTCTATTTCTAGCTTTTAAAGGAAGCACCAGATTGATTTCCAAAGTGGCTCTACCATTTTACATTCCCACCAACAGTGTATAAGTGTTCCAGTCTCTCCACAACCTCTCCGGCATTTATTATTTTGTGTTTTTTGGATTAATGCTAGCCTTGTTGGGGCGAGATGATATCTCATTGTAGTTTTGATCTGCATTCCTCTAATGGCTAACGATTGTGAACATTTCTTCATGTGTCTGTTAGCTGCCTGAATATCTTATTTGGCGAAGTGCTTGTTCATACCCTTTGCCCATTTTTCAATTGGGTTATTTGTCTCTTTGTTGTTGAGGTTTTGCAGCATCTTGTCGATTTTAGAGACTAGACACTGATCAGAGTTGTCGTAGCCAAAAATTTTTTACCAGTCTATAGGTTGTCTTTTGATTCTTTTGGTGAAGTCTTTTGATAAGCGTGTTTGATTTATAGGAGCTCCCATTTATCTAGTCTCTCTTCTGGTGCTTTCGCATTGTTACTTATGGTTCGTATTCTGTTTATGCCATGTATTAGGGCTCCTGGTATTGTCCTATTTTTTCTTCCATGATCTTTATTGTTTTCGATTTTATATTTAAGTCTTTTATCCATTTTAAGTTAGTTTTTGTGCATGGTGTGAGGTATGGGTCTTGTTTCAGTTTTTTGCAGATGGATATCCACTTATGCCAGCACCATTTGTTAGAGACTGTCTTTTCCCCAATTAACGGACTTTGGGCCTTTCTCAAATATCAGATGCTCACAGGTGGATGAATTTATGTCTGGATTCTCAATTCTGTTCCATTGGTCTTTGTATCTGTTGTTGTACCAGTACCAGACTGTTTTGACTACCGTGATGGTATAATAGGTTCTAAAATCAGGTAGTGTGAGGCCTCTCACGTTGTTCTTCTTCTTGAGTAACACTTTACTTATTCAGTGCCTCTTCCTTTTCCATATGAAGTTGGGATTTTTTTCTCCATCTCATTAAAAAATGCCATTGGAATTAGGATCGGGATTGCATTGTATCTGTAGATTGCTTTGGGTAGAATTAACATTTCCACCTGTTGAATCTACCTATCCATGAGCAAGGTATGTTTTTCTACTTATATGCAGGTCTCTTTTGGTTTCTTGCAGCAGTGTCTTGTAGTTTTCATTATATAGGTCTTTTACATCTCTGGTTAGACTTATTCCTAAGCATTTTATCTTCTTGGGGGCTATTGTAAATGGTATTGATTTGGTGATTTCCTCTTCGAGGTTCTCTTTGTTGGTGTAAAAGAATCCAACTGATTTTTGTATGTTTATCTTGTATTCGGAAACTTTGCTGAAATCTTCTATTAGTTCCAGTAGTTTTCTTGTGGATTCTTTGGGGTTTTCTGTGTAAGATCATATCATCTACAAATAGAGATACTTTGATTTCTTCCCTACCAATTTGGATGCCCTTTATTTCCTTTTCTAGCCTACCTGTTCTGGCTAGGACCTCCAGCACAATGCTGAATAAGACTGGTAATAGATAAAGGGCATTCTTGTCTGGTTCCCATTCTCAAGCGGAATGCTTTCAAAATCTCTCCATTTAGGATGATGTTGGCTGTTGACTTTGTAAAAATGCCCTTAATTATACTGAGGAATTTCCCTTCTATTCCTATTTTATTGAGAGTTTTTATGATGAATGGGTGTTGGACTTTGTTGAATGCCTTTTCTGCATCGATTGATAAGATCATGTGGTTCTTGCCTT